TGTACCATGCTGTTACTTTTGTGAGTGAAAAAAATCAATTTTCTACATTCTGGATCTCACCAGCTTCATTTCTTGAACCTCTACACCATTTCTTCCTTTGCAGTGCAATAGATGCTTTATCGCCCCCTACGCTTCCTGTGGTATACTGCAGTCAGTCGGAATGACCACAAATCAATCTAGATATTAACATTATAAAGCAGAGCTATTCAATTCTGGTATTTGAATCTAGTTTCCCGTCCTAGATTTTGTAATCACTGTTAGGTAGTATTAGGTGATATACCGGTTCAACTGGTATAGCGGTTAAAATTCGTATTATTAGTTAAGGTATTATTAGTTTTGTCATTACTGTTATACCGGTATGCTAATAAATTTAGATAACATGACATACAAACAGTGCAAAACATGCTGATTCCCTCACCTCTCATGTAGTGAGTTGCAGCATAAATTATTTTCTTGTCAAAGGAGCAAACATCAGATTATACTGAGTTAACAGGGGGCAAAGAGAGTGAAAAGAAAATCCAGTCTCTTGGGGTTAGCCATTAGCCATTAGCCTAACATGGAGACTAGGCGGTTGTTTTAAGTGTGCACCGGCTATGGCACTCCTCACTTGGCTAGCTGCTTCAGGCGAATGCCTTTTTCAGCTAAAACTGATAATGTGAATGGCTTGTAATGTTACAATGGCTTGTAACGGCTTGTAAAATAACTATATTCCAGCTGTGCATGACAGTTGCAGATTAAGGCTCGGGTGTAAAGCTAAGAGATGAATGACTTTTGGAGACATAAAACAACATTCAGCACCACTTTTGCTGGGCTCAGATAAGCCGCTGTGGGCTTTACATTCACTCATCTTTACCTCGTTATGATTAGAAAGCAATATTGACATCTGTCTATATATTGTTAATTTTTTATTTTTACTATTTTGCCCAATAAATATATTTAAAATAGTTTTATTTGAAAAAAATACATAAATACACTATACCGTGGTATACATTGAAACCACCAGTAATCTTAATTATACCGTGATATATATTTTTGCACATACCGCCCACTACTACTGGTAGGTATGACATTATGTGGCCAGTCAGTTCCATCAAAAGTTCAGTTCACTACCAGCGAATACAAAATTAAAGGTCTGGATTGTAAGACCTCTTTTGAAGAGCTTTATAGAGCACCTTTTCAAAGTAGCCTAAATAGCATGTGAAGAATAAAAGTCCAGGTCAACATTTTTTCCACGATCTACCTAATTGCTCCTATTTGCTTCGTTCTAGAACATTACTGGGGCAGCCTGTAAAGGTCAGAAGGGTGATGTCTACCATCATCCTACAAACATGACTTATTGGGATAAGATGGGGTCAGATTTATTTCATAAGTGCTGTCATCACAAAGATTACCCAGCGAAACAACCAACATGGGAAAGTCTGCTTCTCCCCAAAAATCCACCACCAAACACCAACGCACACATCACCATATCAAGACTGAGGCGCGGTGGGAAACCAGTCAATCACCGCCTTTTCTGTGTCACTGGCCCCGCGAGCACAGAGGAGCCGTTCAGAGAGCGTGCGAGGAGTGTGTGAGCCGAAAAACCCGAGCTGTTTGTGTGTGTGCCCCCGAAGGGACCCGCTGGGAAAGAACATTCCAAAGGGAATATTCAACAGCGTTTAGGGGCTGAACAGGTATGGAAATGAGGGGTTTGTAGGTTCAAAAAAAGGCTAGCAAAAAAAAAAAGCAAGTGGGAAATCCCTGATTCTGTACCTACAGGACGTGACATGGAGTCCTGACCGTCAAGGGCACCCGACGCGACCCTAACACTGTATAACCCACAGCGGCCTGTCACACTCGCCGGACACACAGACGGACCGCTGCAACAGTGGCGGAATTCTTTCAGTGCCTCAGTTTTCATATGCAAATGGGGGGTTTAGATACGCTATGTGACACAGACCTTCCCCATTTTCACACTTTTGTTCCACTTTTCATTCTCTCTCCCAGAGAGAAAGAGTTCAGGGAAGCAGTGTGGCTTGGCCTCGCTGTTAAATACAGTTATTCAATTTCTCTCCTGCTCTGTCTGCCTTTCATTAAGAGAGAAGGGGAAAATATCACTCCCAATAAGTCGACATATCAGGTAGCCAACAGTAGCCTACAACTCACATTCTCGCTCACTTCTTCTGTCCCCGTGGCTGACGTCTGACTAATGACAAACGACACATTAGCCGTTCTTCACAATGTTTTTCCGTTCCGATTCAGAATCAAGCTCCAATGGAGCCAAATTCTCCACAGATGGGACTTAAACCACAGCTTCACACAAAGAGAGAGTTCTTTTTCATTTAGACAAAGAAAAAAAGGGGGGCTATCATCAAGATAAAAGCGTCTCTACCACAAGCCATGCTTCTTTTCTCATCTGCTAACTAGACTGAGTCAGAGCCTTTTGGTGAACAGCATCTCAAAAAAGTCTGCGGTACTTAAGTAGGACCTACAGTGTTGAAGTAGCACCTACAGTGTTGAAGTAGCACCTACAGTGTTGAAGAAACACCTACTTTGTTCATTTTAAGACTGGTTGCATCCCAACCTCAACAGAGTCAGACCTTCTTGGTGAGCAGCTAAATCCCCAACACTGAAGTAACACCTTCATTAAAGTCTAGCAGAACCAAACTGACCACTGCGAGCTCAAATAAAACACCCTGAAAGTGAATTTAAGACCAGGAATTTTATAGTTCATCACTGAAAGTTTGTTTAGGCCACACCTGTGGACAACATCCAGGGTCAAAGTTCATATCAGAGGTATAAGAAGTCATTTATTCATCTTTCTTTTCCCCTGAAGCATTCATAACAACTCAAAACATTCCTAAAGGCAGAGTAAGATAAGATTCGAAGGGCATTTGACAATGAATATATTCCTGGATGGTTGTTTATGAAGGTGAATATACTGTGTACCAGAGAGTTTGTATAGGTTATCATACTAGCATCTCCATAGTTTTTAAAGTTAAAGGAGAACTCCACCCATTTTTCAAAATTTCTGCATCATTCAGTGGTTGAGATGTAAATAAAGTCATGCAGAGTGATTTCGTATAAAATGGTTCATTGTAGAGAAACGTACTGATTTGTTACAGTGGGTGATGGGAACCAGGGGTTATGATGTCTACAACACAAATATAGCCATTTTATTTACTATCCAAAACCACCAGTGCAGACGAGTTTTCATATGTAATGCTGACGATGCTAAAATGGAGGTAACAGTTTTATTTGGGGACTATTTTGTCTAATAACGCCCTGCATGCATTTTTAAAAAGCATCAAAACTACTGTAAAACAATGTTTCAGGCATCAGGCAGAATACTCATTTTTTGTACTAGGTTTCTGTGAGGGAGCTTTCAGAGGTGGACGTTTGGTTCCTATCACCACCACTGTGAACAATACTGACTAGTTTTTCTCTAGAAGGGAGTATTTCACACCAAACCACTCTGAAAGACTTTGTTTACATCTTAAACATTTAAATGCGCAGAAATTAACATTAAAAACACACTAAAAATGACAGAGAGAGAGAGAGAGAGAGAGAGTCTGTCACAGCTGAAGGAGCGCTGAGGGTGAATATGTGATGAACCGGCTGGTCTGCGCACGAGCGCGAGTCTCTCTCTCTCCCTCTCTCGCTCTGAAACTCAGCCAGACTGGAGAGCTAAATGAAAAGAGCTGCGAGCTCCAACGTGTTCGAAACCCCTTTAACTTTTTTCCCGAAGTTGTAAACCGCAAAAAGAAGAAGAAGAGGAGGAAGGAAAAAAACCCTTCCCTCGCGTTCTGGCACGACTTTCAAAGAGAGTCGTTTCTGCGCGCGGAGAGTCCCGGTCTGTTTTCCTCCCCTCCTCTCCCCCCTGACTGCCCACACTTCAAAAAACGGGCTTTTACGAGCTTTTAAACCACACGGTCACGGAAACGCAGAAGCAGGTACAGCTGATTTCAGTGGGATAAACTGGGCATACGAAACGAAAGTGCAGCCGGTTTATCACTCTCATCTCAAGCTGAAGGGAAATTCCACCAATTTTTCAAAAAGTCTGAATACTTCAGCCACTGAGATGTAAACAGACTCCTTCAGAGTGGTTTGATGTGAAACGGTTCACTGTAGACACTCAGACTTCTTTACAGTGACGGTGATGGGAACCAGAAATACTATAGTCAACACACATATTGCCGTTTTATTCACTATCCAAAACCACCAGTGAACCTACATGTGTCCTCTGAGTTTTTATATATAATGTTGATGATGCTAAAAGTCATAAATCTGAAATAAGACGTTTTTTGGGGACTATTTTTGCCTCACAGTGCCTGCGTGGAGCCCTCCGCCATTAATGGATTCAAATACATTTTAAGCCAAAACCTTATCACAAAAACTGTCATAAAGCAACGCGTCAGACATCAGGCTGAGTATTCATAACCATTTCATGTACTAAGTTTCTGTGAGGGAGCTTTTAGAGGTGGACGTCTGGTTCCTATCACCACCACTGTGAACAGTTCTGACACTTAAGTTGAAGGGAGCATTTCACACCAAACCACTCGGAATGACTCTGTTTACATCTCTCCCGTTTAACTATGCAGAATTTTTTTTTAAGATTGGTGGAGTTCCCCTTTAACTCTGTAATGTCCATATCTAAATTGTCACACGTTCTCTGAGTCTTTGAGGAAAAATATCTTTCAAACTGGTCACATTATACACCTAAAAGTGAGAATGGACATGAGAATCAAAGCTTGAACCCCTCTGGTCACACCGAGGCTACTTATTGTCAACAACACGACAGACAAATCACATTTAGTTTAGAATAAAAGTCTGACCATCACATCTAATCCAAACAGTTCAAACGGCCTCTGTTAGCCGTCCATTCAAGAAGTACACCAATTTTCATCACTTTAGACCGAGTTCTGCCTCTTTCTTTTCCTCACCACACACAAATGGGTTAAAACTGCACCAAAACTCATGAAAAGAAGTGCAACTTCAGCGCACTGAGTCCCTCACTGTACCTGGCTCTGCTCATGTGTTGTGTCTTTGTGTCCCGACAGAAGGAGAAGACCCCACAGCTCGGACGGCTCGGACGGGCTCCTCGGTGAAGAGTTCAGCGCTGTTTTGTCTCTCAGCTCCACTTAAAAGAAAAACAGTCTGAAAGCTCGCGCTCCGTCTCAACACAAGTCGAGTTCCTCGCGGCGGCGGACGAGTTTGTGCGCGCGCGGACGGACCGCCGGGTCTCGCGGACTCGTAGTCTCTCGCTGGCTCCGAGGTCGGTAATATCCTGAGCTGAGGCAGAGCGCGCGCGCCTGTGTGTGTGTGCGTGCGTGTGTGTATGTGTGCGTATCCTCACTCCGTCGCGCGCTGCTCTCCACACTCCCAAAAGTCCGTGAAGTGCAGCGTGCGTGCTGCTATAGCGCGCGCTGCTCTCAGCCGCCCGCTGCTATTGGAGCAGGCCGGACTGGCCCCGCCCACTCCAACTGAAACATTACCACCGAAACGAGCCCGTGTGGAGCTCGGTACCTCAGCAGAACTTTATGAATGAAAGACAAAAAAACAGCCGTAGAACCTCTTCTGAATGGAAGAGACACGCTTTTAGAACCTCTTTCTGAAGGAAAAGAGTTCTGAAACACTTTGAGTGGGCGACAATGGTGTTCTAGAACTTCGAAAACAGTTCTAGAACTGTTTATGAATATAAGAAAAAGTGTTCTAGAACTTCTTCGTAAAACTGTTTTTTAGAGTGCTAGAACTGTTTGTGAATGAAATGGAGAAAAGTTCTAGAACCATTCTTGTGTGGATAAAAACGTTCTATTTACAAACGAAAGAACAAAGTGATCTAGAATCTCTTTTTGAAAGAAAAAGGACGAAAAAGGTGTCCCTAGAACTTCTTCTTGACAGGAAAAGAGTTCTAGAACAAAGAGTAAAAAAGTGCTAGATCTATTTGTGAACGAAAAAGGAAAAAGGCCTAGAACCATTCTGGATGGATGAAAATGTTCTAGAACTATTTACAAATGAAAGGAAAAAACAGTTCTAGAAGTTCTCGACAGGAAAACGGTTCTAGAACTACTTATGAATGAAAGGAAACAGGTGTTCTAGAACTTTTTGACAAGTAAAACATTCTAGAACCATTTATGGATGACAGGAAAACAGTTCTAGAACCTCTTTTTGACAGGAAAAACACGCTAGAGCTATTTGAGAATGAAAGGGGAAAAGTTCTAGAACCAATCTAGGGTGGATGAAAGTGTTCTAGAACGCCTTTTTGACAGGAAAAAAGTTTTGCAACTATCTACGAATGAAATAAAAAGTGTTCTAGTGCAGAGCCCTTAAGGGGCCATGGTTAAAAGAAAAAGCAATGACATTGGGTTCCCTTGCAAATGTTTTGCAAACTCTTGCAAACATGTTGCGTTCCCTCGCAATAATTTTGTGTTCCTTGTGGATTTGGGACTATAAAACTGTAAGATAATTGCAAGGTAAAGCAAAACATTTGCAAGGGAACACAATGCCATTGCAATTGTTTCTGTAATGGTACTTTAGGGGCTCCATACTCTAGAACACTTTTTGACAGCAAAAAAGTTCTGCAACTATTTATTAATGAGATGAAACGTGTTCTAGAACCCCTTTTGACAGGAAAAACAGTTCTCCTAAACTTCTCTTTCACTTTAATAAATTCTGGATGTACTAAGAAGTTCTACTGCAGGGCCAAGGTAAATCGGTTCTTGAGGAGATTTCGGACCTCTTCTTACAGGAGCTGTTATTGGCAGCTACTTTTACTTCTGCCTGGGCAATGAGACAATACGTCTGTGCACCCGCCCCTCTTACTCAACCCATCTCTGAATGTCAACAGCCCACAGTGAACACACACAGTGGAGGCCTACACGCTGTCTTGTGCTTGAACTTGCAGTGTCGTGATAAGCTGCAGTCTAGAGAAACCATAGCCTAATTAGTCAGTGTTGCTGTGTACACTTTATTAGAGGGTGTTATTTTAAGAACGGGGGATCCCCGCCGCAAAGTGCTCGCGCTAGGCACTGTTTACTGTGAGGGAAATTTTCTCTCTAGCCGCAGGTAGCTAGCGCTCTCTTCAAAGGCTGAGTCTCAAACTGAGGAGAGCTGCCTGCTGACTTGCTCTCTAATAAGTCACTGTCTTAGGAGGCAGCTTTATACCAAGAGGAGTTTCGTCTGAGGCTTTCAAGGCAGCCATACGCCACGACATTTGAGTCCAGATTAGAATACCTCATGGGTTTTGGTCAGTCAGGGATACTCTGTGTGAGATGTTTTTATCATTCACATTAGTCAAGGCAATGGTTCCATTTAACACCACAAGTTCTATATAGAACCATTTCATGCTTAAATGGCTTCTTGCCTGGTGAAATGTTTTTTTAAGATTGATGGAAAATGTGTTGCATATGGTTCTACATAGCACTAAAAAGGGTTCTGCTATTGTTTATGATGTCAAGCTTGTAACAATTGAAGAACGCTTTTTGGTGCTGTGTAGAATCATTCTATGTAGAACCATATACAAGAAATATTTCACCATGCAAAGAACCATTTAAGCATGAAATGGTTCCATACAGAACTCATGGCTTTGTAAGAGTGTAGGTCTGGTTTAGTTTGGGGAATAAAGAGATCCGCCACTAACATGTACCGTGGGCGTATAAATTGCTTTTGTCCTGTTTGTCTTTGGATGAACACAGGAACCAAATCCACGTCTTTAAAAGGAAGCTCCCTTTGAAGAGATCATGACTAAGGGTTCCAGTGTAAGGAGTCCATTTTAGAAACTAAAGAAGTTTTTCAGTAAAAGTAAAACTGTAGGTTCACAGGCAGCTAAATCAGTGCAGTGTCTGAACTCAAGAACTAAAGAAACGGTTCACAAAATCAAATCTGCACATTTTCCCTCCTTACTCCCAAAAAAAGGGCCGCGTGATACCGCATAAAGTGTGGCAAAGCTGTTAAAATGACAATATGATAAGATAACTTTTTTGCTGTGTAAGCAGAAATCGAACTTCTCTTTTAAGCAATAAATACAAACTTACAAAAGCACCATTCACCTTTGGGCAAAGTGCAACATCAAAATAAACAAATACCAAAATAGCTAACATCACAACTGCTAGCACATTTTTGTGCTTTGTAAGGCTGTTAGAAAACCAGTTAGCATTCAGCACTCAGCAGCTTTTTCTGTATAGACCTACACAAACCAATAAACATATGTACACTTTTCTTCTGACTGATTCTTTTGAGTTGAGAAAAATCACATTTAAAGTTCTCTTCAGGTTTTGTACCGGAGCTACAAGGCTAATTTAGTGCAACAGACTTCCTTTGCTTTTTAGCAACATTAGCCTCACAGCTCTAAGCTAAAGCTACAGAAGCAGACTCATCATGTCTTGCCTGACTGATCACATTTTGAAGGAAAAATGTTTAAACTTCTTTAAAATGGAGCAGAAATGGGGTAGATGGAGTCGCATTTGTGACTCAACCAAAGCCCGGCTGAGGTAATGTATAGATCTATGGTATAGAATGGGCCTGCGTGCTAATTAGAAAGCTAATGAGAGAGAGAGAGAGGGAGAGAGAGAGATTCCCACGTCTTCCTCGCTCTCTCTTTGTCTTCCTCTCTTTTGTTTCTTTTCTTTTTACTTGTCCTCTGCTTTAACACGCAGCTGTTTGCCTGCAGTGAGAGGCTGTGCATTAGCAGACCCGGGGGGGGTTTGTGTCCGTTGTTAGTTTTCCTCTAGTCCAATCTGTTTACCTCAGATCATTCTCTATAGGTGAGGGCAGCTCTCGTTCACACACAGAAGTGTGAAAACTTCGCCAACAGAGGGTCTGTATTGTGTGTATCCCCGCCGTAACCCAGGGAAGTCAATATTTATCGACGATAAGAGCTGTTAGACCAAATCCTGCCCTCGATGGGAGGAATTTATGTCTGTATTTATGACAGGGTACACTGGCTAATACAGACTGCAGTGTAATGGAGCCGGTCACTGAATTTTATTCCAGGAGGGATAAAAAGTCACCAAAAAGTGGTCGTGTATGAACAAACTGATTTGGTCACTTGCTTTTTGTCAATTGAGAAGATAAAATAATCCAACTTTGTGTTTATTGTGTCATTCCTGTCCTGTTGTGCTTCATTGTCTGGAGTAGACTGTGCAACATCGCCATCTACTGGCAGTGCAAGCTCTTTGTGCACAAAAATCTGCATAGAGTCAATCAGAAGCTCACTTTAGGTCAGTTTATGTGTGAGGCCATTTAGGCCTATAGATTTACAGCAGCGCATCGCCTCTTTGTTTATACAGAGTGGATCCTGGAGGGCCGGAGTGCAGAGCTTGGTGCCTTCCCTGCTCAAACACGCCTGCTGAATCTGCTCATTAACTCATGAGTTGAAAAAAAAGTAGCGTGTTTAGAGCAGGGAAAACACCAAAGCACACAGGCCCACCTTTCACTTTGACACAGTATCACATGCATTTTATTATATAAAATTTATTTGACTTGACCAAGTCAGAACTTTTCACAGTGGTGGTGACCAGACGTCTTGAAGCGTTTAATGCCTCTAAAAGTTACTGCAAAGAAAGTTTTTACCTGAAGTGGTTACAAATTTGTTGCTTGATGCCTGAGACATTGTTTTACAATAGTTCTGAGACACGATTTTGGCCTCCATTGTAGTTATTTTAACCCAGTCTTGCCGCTAAGGTACACGCAGGGCAGTGTAAGGCAAAATAGCACTTAACGAAAACTCATTTTTTCAGATTTATCACTATTTTACCATCAGCAACATTATATATAAAACTCAGAAGACACGTTTAGGATATCTGGTCACTTTGGATAGTGAATAAAATGGCCGTATTTTCACTGTAGGCATTGTGACCCCCGGTTCCCATCACCACCACTGTAAAGAAATCTGGGTCTGAAAGTTTCTCCACAGTGCATTTCACATCAGACCACTTTGAATGACACTGTTTACATCTCAAAGGTTGAATTTTGAAAACATTGTGCAAACTGCATGCCTAAATCATAACACACTTACCACAAACTGGATCAAGTTGTCACTGTATGGCGCACTGTTATCTGTAAAAATGGACTAAAGTCCATTGCATGGTTAAAAACAGTAATAGTAGCCACCTTAAAGTCTGAATTTTGTCCTTACTTTTGTCTATTTAATTATTTATTCAGATAACAGTATGTTATACAGTTTCAGAAACAACATAAGCAAGTCTATCTGAAATCATTGTTTTTTTGATGTCATGAAAAGCAACATATTTGCATATCTCCACCCATTCAATCAATACCAGTTTAGCTCCTCCCATTCACCCTGAAGTTATAAGGAGTGTTTCAGCCTAGGCCCCTTTTTGAACAAGGCACAAACCAGTACAGCCAATCACAGAGATCTTAAA